GGTTAATGTATGGTGGCAACTATAGTAGGCTCTTTGATCTCAACTAGTAGATTTATGAATGCTAGAGGGATTTTCCTATGGAATTTTGGATATGGGCTTGGGGACAACTAGATCCATCGTACTTGTGAAATTTTGGGATTTTAACATTTTTAGGCCTGTCAAAGTCAGAGTTAGGGGATAAAGCATTGAACTCGATTATTTCTTCTGGTGGGTAGTTGATGAGAGACTTGCTCCATGACGATCCTAAAAAGGTTTTTTATGGTTTAAGAGGGGTTTGAACTTTTGTTTGATTTGTATTGTGTCTTTTTGTTTTACTCTGTTTTAGACATTTTAAAGTTAGTTGTCTCAAGGGAAAATGTATCAATATAGGTTGTAGGCTTCTAACAAGTGGGAATAGACTAATGCGAACTAAGGGCTTGTATTAGTGGTGCAATATGTGTGACATGCGATATGCTTAGGCAAGACAACAGAAAACCACGACAAAACCGACCTGTCCCTAATATGCACCTAGAGCTATTGAGGTTGCTATGACTTGGCTAACTAGATATTGGATCCTAAGTAAGAATGGGTCGAGGTTAAACCTGACTCGTGAGGGTATATGGTGCTTTGGGTGAGATTGAGATAATAGACTTGGTGTGAAGTGTTAGGGTTGTCAATTCTATGGTGGCTGCTGATTGAAAGAATCCAAAGAAGGCTAGATGTGTAGGTGATTAGATAGGATGGCTTCCTTAGAGTGGGTCAAGGGAACCTAACAAGGATGTGAAAGAAAGAAAGAATCTATGGTCAATTAGAATAGGTCATGCAAAGGGAATGTCTTAAATTAGTGGAACTCTGTCGAAAATTAAAAAGCATTTAGAAAGTACAATGTTTAAAGAAGCTTTGAAAAATCTTTTGGGGTTTGAGGAATTTAATTAACTTTGTTGGTTTCGATAAAATTACAAGAGGATTCATGGACTTTGGTGCTTTCTCATGTTTGTGGAATGCTGAATTTTGCAATTGACTTGAAATTATGTGAGTGAGGATTTGATAAAGAGACTTTACTCATAATCCTTACATTAGAATCTCCTGGTTTGATAATGGGCCTCTCCTTTATTGTGTTTTTGTTGACTTGATAGTTATTATGAGTTAGATATGGGGATTTGATGCTATTTGATACATTTGTTCTCATTTTATTATTATTAATTTTGGAACTAGTGGTGTAATTAAAATACTCTTGGGTTTTCGATAAGATTAAATCTTGAAGGAAATGCCGAGAGTAATTAGCTCCTGTACCGTGTTTGTGAAATAGCAACCTTTTTGATGTTGCTTCCTAAGAGTAAATTCATTGGGTAAAACGTCTACATAGTTTAAAGAAGAGCAAGAAAAATATTTGAGCTCGAGAGTTTATAAAGGTTCATGAGAATGTCTTTTTTGATACTAGTTAAGGGAATATCAATTCCTACACCAAATGTGTACCTACTTGACATCGCAGAGTTTTGAAGGTATGACGGTCTAAGTGGCCTTTTGATGTTATTTCTCAAGAGTAATTCATAGAACCAAACATCTATTTGGCCTAAGTTCAGTTAAGGGAATGAAGTATCTTTCAGTATTGGTTAAGGGATGATTAGATCCTTTACCATACGTATCTACTAGATCCTCTCGGAGATTGAATACTTAGAATGGGTCATGGTGGAGCTTTGATAGAGTTAGGTACCTACTTAGCCAAGAGATGGTCACAAGATACAAGAGACCCCAAAAAGAATGACCTTTCGATGCTACTTTGTAAGAGCTAAGCTCATAGAGTCATGCATCTATTTATCCAAGAGATGGACATAGAATAGATGATTAAAGGGGTCAAAAGTGGCCTTTTGATACTACTTCTCAAGAGCCGAGTTCATAGAGTCATGCATCTACTTAGCCAAGAAATGGACATGGGACAAATAATGAAAGAGGTCAAGATGACCGTTTGATGCTACCTCTCAAGAACTAAGCTCATAGAGTCATGCATCTACTTAGCCAAGAGATGGACATAGGACAAATGATTAAGGGGATAAAAAGTGACCATTTGATGCTACCTCTCAAGAGCTGAGCTTATAGAGTCTACAAAAGCCTAGAGTCAGAAGATGGTCATTTTAAATGAGAGTTTTAGATTCTGATAATTGTAGTTTTGATTTTGATCTTAATTCCTAGATTTCTTGTCCTTAAATTTTTTATTATTGTAGTTTGAATCTTATATAAAACTTATAGATCTGATTTTGATTTTTTTTTTCAATTGTTTTTGATCGTTTTTATCTTACATTTGGAAATTTAGGCCTAGGTGTTACTTGGGATAGGTTGAATCTTACTTGGGATCTAGTTTAGACTTAGACTTGGCTTTTATGGTGTTTTAATGTATTTTAATGAAATTCAAATCTTCTTCTTTGTTGTTTTAATGTCTTTTTTTTCTATGTAAACTAGATGAGATAGAACCATGAAGTTTGCTTTCCTTCTCGTTTTCATAGAACCATGAGATAGAACCATGTGCATTATTTTCTTTTTCTTTTCTTCCTTGACTTACTCATTCAGGATTGCTGGCTATTTGAGGTTAAAAATTTGTTTGTCTTGCATCTATGTTCTCAGGGAATTGTACAATGAACTTGTTTCAAGTTTTATTGGCCATTGGAGTTATAACTACTAATCATCAAAACATAATTTTAGATAAACAAAGTGATCTCTAGTCTATCATAACCTATAACGGGCTCAATGTGCTAGATCTATTGGATTGTTTCATAAGATGATAGGGGCGTCATAGACCGATATAGGAGGGGCCTATTCTAAAATGGAAGACTCTCCCACGGTACCTTGGAGTTCACGGATATGATGGGTAAGCACTTACTGGAAATAAATGTTGAACCTAAAATGACAATGAACCTTATTTGACAAAGGTCAAAGGGAAAACTCATGAGATGAGTGGATGTGATCATTCACAGAAGGTGGTTAGGTAATGCAGCTGAAATAGTTGGCTCCGTGCACTCTATGTGGTTTCCCACATTTCCAGAGACATAGTTCGCAGTCTTCGTCACTGAGATAGGAGGGAAATCTCAAAGATGAACAAATGGAAATGGAACATAGATTAAAAGCCATATCTATGTAGATAACATCAATTAAATCAGGTTGTGGACTAATATTTGCTTTGCCTTTTATTAGAAATGGCAAACGAACAATTTGCCAAACTGTTGGACGATAACAAGCTTAGGGGCCCAAATTACGCTGACTGGTTTCATAACCTTGTGCTGGTTCTGACGTCCGAAAAATTGGACAAAATTGCTAAAAACCCTACTCCAGATTGTCCGGGTAATAAGGCTTTTGAAGCCCGCAGGAGGGAATATCAAGAATGGGATGAGAAAAACTCTCTTACCCGGTACTACATCATAGCTTCCTTAGACAATCAGATACAATGACAGTTCGATCAGATCGAAGTGCCCAAGGATATCTTGAATAGTCTAAGGACAATGTATGAAGAGCAGAATCATTCTTCTCGTCAGAAGGTCCTAAAGCAGTTTATGACCACACAAATGTCCAGAAACCAGCTAATTCATGACCATTGTCTTAAGATGGTGGGATATATCAATGAACTGGAGGCTCTTGGATCTGGGCTACATCATGTCACCAAAGTTAATGCCATCCTAAACTCTTTGACAGCTTCCTTCAATCAGTTCATAATGAATTACAATATGAACAAGCTAAATGTTAGTTTTCAGGAACTCAGCAATATGTTGCAGAGGGCCAGAGAACTGATAAAGAAGGATGAGCCCATAGCCATGTTTGTTGATGGTGGCAAATCGGGCAAGAAGAAGAGGAAGGCAAAGAGGAAACCTCAGAAGAAAACTAGCAAGCATAAAAGGCAGAAGAAAGACAAGGCATCAGATGCCTGAGTGGAGCTCAAGCTACTAGATCAATGTCGGCCCACAGGCCACAATCTCATGTTATGAGTAGAACAAAGTATGGAACCAAGATGAGTCCAAACACTAACTAAAGTTGAACCGAGTTCAATTTTCTTCTGCTCAATCTAGGCTAGCGAAACCTAACCAATAATACAGTTTTTCTAACTGAGTCTTTAATCTATATAGTCTGGTCCTATAATCGTCATCTATTTCTAACTAGTAGTGACAGTGGGTGGTCTTGTGTGCCTGCCTAGTTTACTGAGGCTGGTCCGAGGCTTTTTCCCTAAGGTCCTCCCGTATTGGGTCCATCTATATATAGGGTTGGCGTGTGGTTGGGTTGGGCCTGTTGGGGCCCATTTAGGACTGGTTATGCCCAATTGTATAGATGTACTAATATTCTTTGAGTTTCCACTGGCAATTAAAAATTTATAGTTGATTCCACATGCATGAATCACGATTTTCTTTGCATTTATGTTTATATTATTTTCTGTTCATTAACATGATATATGATGGATTGATGGGGAAAAGGCTTCCTACACTAATGCACTTTTTTTTTTCCTACCATAGGAAAGGATGTTTTGTGGCGAATCTAAACTGTCCATCAAATAGTGAATCTATTGTCTGGGTACGCACTCAACTAACAGACCATATTTGTATTTGTACGCTTCTACACTGAGCCTTAATATCTAAATTGAAGAATCTTGGGTGATTTAGAGAAGCTCACTAAACTATACTCAACTAGCTAGCAAACAAGTTCCCTACATACCACATAATTGTTTTTTCATAAAATAATACATTTCATTGATAACCAGATCAGAGCATCTAATTTGTTTCTTGCACCTTTAATTTGTATATTTATCATTTGTCGAAACTCACTATGTAATTGTCTTTCTTCTTTTTTGTTTAATATGTGAATATCCAATGTGCAGGCATGAAGCAAAGTGTGTCAAGCAAATCGTTGAAAAGGTTTTAACTGAATTGAAACCAATGCACTTGGATGTAGCTAAGTATCCAGTTGGAATAGATTCTCATACAAAAAGCATGACTTCATTATTGAATGTTGAACAAAAAAAAACTAGAATTATAGGGATCTGTGTTATGGGGGGAATTGGGAAGACAACCATTTCAAAGGCCATCTATGATTCTCTCTATCACAGAATTGAAGGTAGCAGCTTTCTTGCAAATGTTAGAGAAGATTCAGAGAAGCGTGGGCTTTATTATTTGCAAAAACGGATGCTTTCTGATATCTTCAAAGAGGAGATGAATAAACAACAGATAAGTGGTGATGATAATGGAGTAATTGTTATCAAAAGGAGATTGAAGCATACGAAGGTTCTTATTGTTCTCGATGATGTTGATCATTGGCCAAATATATAAATTAGCTGGACAGACCTCTTGGTTTGGTTTAGGCAGTAGAATCATCGTAACAACAAGAGATGAACATTTGTTATTGGAATGTGGGCTTAGAAAGGATGAAATATACAGGCTTCAAGAGATGAGCAATGAGGAATCACTTCAGCTCTTCTCTTTACATGCATTCAAGGAATACCGTCCTAAACAAGACTATATGGAGCTCTCAAAGAATATAGTGGAGTATGCTAGAGGGCTACCATTAGCTCTTGTTGTTTTGGGCTCCTTCTTGTGTGGTAGGGAAATACCTGAACGGAAATGTGCATTGAAGGAATTAAGAGAAATTCCTAATGACAAGTTACAGTCAAAATTAAGAATAAGCTATGATGCACTATCTAAGCAACACTACAAGGATATATTCCTTGACGTTGCATGTTTTTTCATCGGAATGGATAAAGACTTTGTAAACATGATCTTAAAAGGTTGTGGGTTCCACCCAGAAATTGGAATTGCTGTCCTCACTGAGAGATGTCTCATTTCAGTCAACAAAGAGAACAAACTCATGATGCATGATTTACTTAGAGACATGGGAAGACAAATAGTTCATGAAGAATCTCTTAAGGACCCTGGAGAGCGTAGTAGATCGTGGTCTCATCAGGATGCCCATGACATATTAAAAAAGAATATGGTTAGTGCTAATTGTTGTTATTTGTATAACCATTTGATAAATAAAATAGAAGAAAAGAAACATAGAGATTATAATTTGCCTGCTTTCTGAACAGCTTGAAAAGTTGAGCTCTTGTGGGTATTTGCTAATTGCAGGGTACCAACAAAATTGAAGGGCTCATGACAAATTTTGTTGATGGTTGTGAGTGTGAATCCTATAAAATTAATTTGAAAACTGAAGCATTCATGACAATGCAAAAAACTAAGACTGCTTCAGCTTGATGGTGTGAATCTTGAGGGAGATTATGGACATCTCTTAGAAGAGTTAAGATGGCTCTGTTGGCGTCAATTCCCTTTGGAATCTATACCGGCCAATTTTGATTTGGAGAAACCTGTCGTTCTTGACATGCGACGTAGTTATATCATCAACCAACCTTGGAAGGAAACTAAGGTAAGACACATTCTTGAAGGAAGGAAACTAGTTGGGAAGCCGCGCTCACAAGTCTGCTTTTCATTTTTTTTTTTATATTTTGTTGAATAAACTTGCTTTTCATTTACAACTGGAGAGATATTGAATTATAAAAGAATATAGATCTATTATAATTTTCTTGAAGGTAGTTTTGCGAAATTAATCAATAATTATTAATTAGCTTGAAGGGTAAAACCAAAGTAACAAAATATCATAAAATAAAATGAAATCTGCCCTTATTTCTGTATGTAAGAGTTTGTTGTGCTATCTATCCCCTCAGTTAGTTGGTTCCCAAGACCAAGCGGGTATAGTTTAAATTTATTTTGTTCTTTTCTTTCTTTTTTTATTTAGTCCTAAGGTAAAATCCATTCATTAACAAAATTAGACAAGGTCATGGGGCAGGGGTTTGGTTTTAGTAAAATCCAGAAATTGGTCAAAATCATTGATCATGTCAGAAACCATCCAACCCAAGCGGTTGGACCATGATCCATTTGATCCGGTGATTAGGTCACAGGTTGCACACTAAATACGTATGCAAATTTTCAGCAGCCATACCAATGTCCAATTGGGGTGATGTTTTGTTTTTTGATTTTGGGTAACTTTTCAAGATCAATGCATCTCAAGGAGCCACAAATGCCTTGCCCTACTATTTTCACAAAGACAACCTCAATGCATCTCAAGGAGCCACAAATGCCTTGCCCTACTATTTTCACAAAGACAACCTTTTTTCTGCCTCAAATTGCATTTTTTAAATATAAAACAATACATATATTATATGTAAAACTTAATTATACATTATTAATAAAATTTGTGAATTTACACACACACATCTATATATATAGTTAAATATGTAGAGCACTGATGTGGCATAGTATGACCTGTTCAACTTGGACGGTTGAGCCACTGACCCATTTGTCAAATAAATAGTGACAGATTAACTTTAGAGTCTTGAAATCCAATGCATAAAAGATGATCTTGAAGTTGGTGGAACCAGGCCCTTGGAGCTTCTTTAAGCCCATAATGCAACGTGTAGTTTACACTTGTATGTAGGATACTTTGGGTCTACAGAATCCTATAGGTTGGCACATGTAAATGTCCTCCTCAAGGTGGCCATCAAGTTAGGCATTACTTACGTGAAGTTTACAAGTTTCCCACTGGAGAGAGATAGCAATAGTAAGAATAATGCGAATATTCGTGGGCTTCACCACTGGGCTAAATGTTTCATCATAATCTAGGGTTGCTTCTTGGTTGTATCTTTTTGTCACTAAACAGGCCTTAAACTGATTGATAGACCCATTAGGATTTCTCTTGATTTTTTGAATGCCCATTTGTAGACAATAATACTATGCCGAGGGGGAGGCAGGAATAAACTCCAAATTTGGTTGTGCATTAAAGCCTTGTATTTATCAACCATCGCCAAGTAGCCAATACCTACATGGATCCTTATGAGCAATAGAGTAGCATGTGGGCTTAACTTCAGCAAGTGGGTTAGCTAACTTCAGCCAATACCTCTTTCGAAGTGAGTAAGCATGTGATGGATTAAGATGGTGGTAGGTGGACTTGCATCATGGAGTAGGTTGGGTGAACAAGTGTGAGCCCCATCTCTACAATATATGCTAGTGGCGGGGTTTCAAGACACCATTTTGTTTTGGTGTATGGGAACACATGAGACAGAGCATGCATAATGCCAGCTTCATGAAAGGAAAGATGCCAAAGGCTGATATTTAGATCCATCGTCAATGTGGAGATTCTTAATGCGGCAATTCAGCTTATTTTCAATGTAAGCTTTGAAGTGAAGGAAAACAAATGGAATTTGTGATTTTTAGATAATAAAGAAAAAAAATTCTATGAACATCTATTGAATCTATCGACAAACAAGAGACTATCGAGTTCCATTATTAGAGGGGTAAGGAGAAAGGTCCCAAATATCTAAGTAGATAATCTCCAATGAGTGTGAAACTTAAGTAGACCCCAAGAGAAACAAAAGACAGCAGCTTTTGCATAGCTAATAAAGTCATAGAAGTCCATGCATTTATTAGAAACTAGTAGGAGAAACTTTTTGAGAAAGTGGTTTGTGATCTTAGGACTCAGATGGCTGAGTCTTTGTGCACAGTTGCCTTTGTTTGAAGATGAACTAGATAGTTGAAGTTGATAAAGGCCATTTTTAAGTGGGTTTTGAAAGAGTATCTTCCCCATACGAGTTTCCTTAACAAGAAAACCATGAGCTTTAAACTCAGAATGCATTATTGTCTTAATATATAGAACCGACTTACAAAGATAAGGTTCTTAACAATGTTGGAAACATAAAAAATATTCTGGAGAGGAAATGATCTATGATGAATTATTTCACATACAGGAGCCAACATGGAGATGTGCAAACCTTCCCCATTACCTACAACAATCTAATCAAAACCATTGTTTCCTTGTAAGATCAAGGAGATCTCGTAAGTAAATAAGGAGTGAGATGGTCGGTTGCCTAAAGTCAGGGTACTAGTTAAAGTCATTGCTTGGTGGTGGTGTATATGTCACAAATGCAGAGCCTTGTTGTCGAGATCGATGAAGCACCAGTAAGACTTAAGAAATTTACAATAGGTTGTAGCAATATGACCAGCATACCCACAGAGTTGACAGGTAACAATAGGTATGCAAGATTCATCCTTATTGTTTAGATGTTTCTCATTATTGTTCTAGTGAAAATGGGGTTGCTACTATTCTTGCTTCTGTCAAGGAGCATTATTGTTGGCAGGTTGCTTTGGTCTATGCGGATATTTGGTGTCGATGATGGAGTAAGTGTTATCAAAATGAGACTACACTATAAAAGGGTTCTTGTTGTTCTGCATGATGTGGACTATTTAAACCAAATAAATGCATTAGCTGGAGATACCAATTGGTTTGGCTTGGGAAGTAATTCATCATAACAACTAGAGATGAACATTTGCTATTGACATGTGGGCTTAGCAAGAATAAAATATACAAGGTTCAGGAGATGAACAATGAGCAATCACTTCAGCTCTTCTCTTTGCATGCATTCAAGGAAGACCATCCAAGAGAAGAGTATATAGAGATCTCAAATAACATAGTTGAATATGCAAGAGGGATACCATTAGCCCTTGTGTGATAGAAAAATACCTGAATGGGAAAGTGCATTGAAGGAATTAAGAGAAATTCCTAATGATGAGATACCATAATCAAATTAAGAATAAGTTATGATGCACAATATATTTAAGCAAAAATACAGGAATATATTCCCTGGCTTTACATTTTTTTGTTGGAATGGACAAAGACTTATGTAAGCATAATCCTAGAAGGTTGTGGGTTCCACCCAGAAATTGGAATTGCTGTCCTCGTCGATAAGTGTATTGTTTCAATCAATAAGGAGAACAAACGCATAATGCATGAGACATGGGAAGACAAGTAGTTGGTGAAGAATCTCTAAAGGACCTGGGAGACCGTATTAGACTGTGGTCTCATGAGGATGACCATGACGTATTAACAGAGAATAAGGTTAGTGCTAATTGTTATTTGAATGGCCATTTGAGAAATTAAAATATAGAAAAAAGAAACATGGAGCTTATAATTTGTTTGTTTGCAGAATAGCTTGCAAAGTTGAGCTCTTATAAATATTTATTAATTGTAGGGTATCTGCAAAATTGAAGGACTCGTGAAAAAAATTGGTTAATAGTTGTAAAAATGAATACTATAAAATTAATTTGAATATTGAAGCATTCATGAAAATTGATGCAGTACAGAAAGAAATTAATAAGTTCTATGCAAGTTGGGACCATTCCAAGATATGTAAGAAGCAAATATGATGCCACCGATCCAAATCAGCGAGTATGACATCTGGTACGAGCCCCGAATAGCAATTAAGGCCCAAGCCTTGGCCGACTTCATAGCAAAATGCACTTTCAGCACCGCAGTCCCCGAATTGGTAGAGACTGAGCATGATGAGGAAGCTTCCACCAGTGCTGCACCAATCCCAGTTAAAATGAAGCCAACTTGGGACGAGGAGCCCTGGATTCTTCATGTAGACGGCTCATCAAATTAGCAAGGAAGCGGTGCCGTAGTCGTTTTGTACGGGCCAAGCGGGGTGAAGCTGGAATACGCACTTTGGATCAAGTTTGCAACATCTAACAATGAAGCAAAATACGAAGCACTGATAGTCGGGCTCATGCTAGCAAACAAAGTACAAGTGAAGCACATCATCATTTGCAGCGACTCCCAGCTTGTGGTCAACCAGGTAACCGGTGATTACGAAGCTCGCGACCCCACCATGACTGCTTATCTAGCCAAGGTCAGGGAAGTTTTACG